TGAGTTGGCAACTAGTAGGTAACTAGGTTCCAGCAATCTTTTTTAAATTTTAACATTTCAGAAATTTTAACATTTTAGTCAGAAAATGATTTTTTCTTTTTCATAATGTTTTAGATAATTCGAGAAAAAGATCATATTTTTGCTGTTTGAGTTCATTGACATTAATTTTCAAATCATTAAAATGAATGTCAAATCTCAAAAAAATTTCATTTTCGATATTCCATTTGCTTTTAATCAAGATTCTGAGGCGGCAAAAGCGGATCATAACATTATTGCTGAGCATGGAGATAGTAGAAAGAACCCCTCGTGAATGGCATGAAAAGTTTAAAAAATGGAAATGTTGATCTCAAAGAATCATTTCGATCTGGCTGTTTAATTGAGTTCGAGAAGGAGCGATTAAACCAAATTTTACACGAAAATTCTCCCATACTTTGAACTTTATCAGTTTTTATTAGTTTTTTTTTAAGGTGATCAAATAGCTGTATTTTTAACCAGAATATCGTAAACTAAGCAAATTTGCTTCAACCGGAACTTCGACTGGTCCGATTTTCAGTTCAAGTTGAACGTGATCGAAAGTAGCGCACTACAAGCAGTGAAACTACTGTAGTCGCTCCTCTTTTCGTAGTTTGTAGTGTAGTGTGCTACTTTTTAAAAAAGTAGTGTAGTGAGTAGCGCGCTACAAAAAAAAAATGTAGTTTGTATCAATTCCTGGCAACTACTTTTTATGTTTGTTTATTATATGAACGGAGTTCTAACACAACTAATTCTTCGAATTCGATGGGTACAAATCTGCGTGGGTCTGTCAAGGGACACAATTTTAAATGCCCCTTTGACTTTGAGTTTACGAGAATTGCTTATTTAGAGTTATGCATGACTAATATTTAAGCTAGCCCTTGTGAATAATCTGTAATTCATCTCTTCGGTCACACTTTCACAAGCTAATGTAGGCTCGTAAAACATTGATGAAATTTCGAAGAAAGTAAAAATATTTTCGATGTACCTAATTCTTAGAGGAAATAAACGCGCATTGAACACTTAACGAACTTACACGTATTTGATAATTTTCCTATCATCTAAGAAAGGCATAAAAATGTGAAGAATGAATGAAAAAATTCGAAAAGAAAATGGTTTAGAATAACAAAATGGCTCGTGTGAACATGAATAAATATTTCTAAGGAATTTTTTATGCTTAATACAAGCCAATTTTTTATTCAAAACCATTTTGAACATAATGTGCAAATTAATTTCTCCAGCAGTGTAAATTATGCGGGTGAAAATTAATTTCTCCAGCAGTGTAAATTATACAGGTGAAAATTAATTTCTCCAGCAATGTAAATTATACAGGTGTAAATTAATTTCTCCAGCAAAGTTCAGTTCTTTAAAGTAGCGAAGTAAGCCATTACAATTCCAAAGTAGTTTGTAGTCCCTTCATTTAGCTGGGGTTTTAGTCGGGGTAGTAGTAAACTACAAAAATAATGTAGTTTTTCCGACCACTGAATTCAATTATAGTATCGTCGCGTGCTTCAAAAGGATAAGTTTAAAAAGAAAAGAAAAATATTAACATTGAGTTACATGTGAATCTCTAAACAACGGGGGGGGGGATAAACACAAAATAGCGAAAAACTTTCATCAGTGTTCAAACACAAAATAACATATTTTGTTCAGAGAATAACAGAAATTGGCGCTTTTTTCAGGTTGAATTAATTTGTTTTGTTTGTTAATATGCCTGTTTTTTTTTAAAAAAGTTTGTTATATTCAGTGGCGTTTTTTCCGTGTCTTTTGTGATGGACCCCCCTTAATTTTAATGTGATGTGTTAAATTGTGTTTATTTATAACATACATTTTTTTTTTTTTACGATCTAACGTATAAAAAATGCATATTCTACGCATAAGTAGTTACAAAAAATTTTGCGCATTTGAACATACGTATTTTCAGAATTCAATAATTTCATATTCTACTAATACGCATACCTATTGTCAAAACATGTATACACATATTCATAAAATGACAAAAATCGGTGCTTTTTTTCTTCAAATTGTTTAGCTTTACTTAAAGATAGATTTACTCGATAATATGTTTTATTTCATTCCGGTCTACTTATTAGATGTTTTTTTGCTCTCGCTTTCAATGTAGTGTGCAATATTATTATTATTGTTTCATTATAGAAAAATAAATTATGATCCAACGAATAAAAAAATATAAATGCCACAAATACGCCTACATTTTCTACTAATACGCATACCTATTGTCAAAAAATGTATACGCATAAAATGATATAAAATGGTACTTTTAAGTTGCATAGCTTTATTCAAGGATTAATTTGCTCAAGTATATGTTTTTCTTCCTATGCTTTTTATTCAGGAGTTTAGTATTTTTTTTTTTTCGTGTGTGTGCTGGATTTTTCTCAATTTTAATGTAACGCGTAAAATTGTGTTTTTTTCATAATAAATAAATAAAATATATGATCCTACGAATAAAAAAAGTAAATAATCTACAATTACATTTGTGTTTTTTTTTCAGAAAGTACTAAAAATGGAGACAAAAAGAAGATGATAAAAATAACTTTTTTTTATCTCAAAAATGGATTTTACGAAAGCTGTAGAACGGCATTGTTGAAATAAGGCTCGCTTTTATGACAACATTTGAAAAGAGCAGCGCATCTCTGTAAGCAAATACACACAGAATGCTTATATTTAGCTTCACCGGAAATGGATGAATAAAAGAAAATTTTTCTATTTTTTTTCCCGACGTTCATACCCTTCCAAAACAATAACACGAAAACTAAGGAGCCATCTTAGATTACAGAATATCCAGGTGAACACACGGAAGACATTCGAAATTCTTTTCCCTTATCTCTTCTTTCCTTTTTTCCATTTTTAGAGATATTCTATTTTGTTAAACTCGAAGTAAAAGACGGACTTTGTTGGAAGGATTGAAGAGGATTAATTTGGATATTTTTGAAACAAAACCGTTTTGTAAATGAAGGTTTTAAAGAATGTGTTTCTGTAATAACAGAGGGGTATTCTTATATCATTCTTTTTAGTCGAATCTTTTTATCATGTAAGAAGGAATCATCTACTTAGGTACTATAATGCACACTGTTGTCAATTTTTCCCCCAACCATAATCTTACTAATGTACAATTTGATCAAAAAAAAGCATGCAAATTTCAATTTTTTTTCAATTATGTAAAAATTTGCAAAATTCCAAATGCGTGAGATTATTATTAAAGAGAATAACAGCAAAAAAGCTGATGGGGGGAGGGACTATTTTCTCTGAAACGCGCTTTATAAATAAGAGGATGCGACCATTCCATATTTTGAAGATTTAAAAACAGAATCCATTGGGAAAAGGTATTATTTGTTCGAGAGAAAGCAAGTTTTTAAATCTCATTTTACAACCTAAAATTTCTCTCGTATTCATTAATTTGCACATTTAAATTGTACTCTTGAAACTATCATGTAAAGTAAAATCACGTGAAAATCAAATCATTAAGTCAAAAGTTCTTACTTTCCGGTCTTGTATTCTCTAAAATCATTTCATCAGTCTCAAAAAAGGGAGCTGATTTCGATTTTTGTTTTTTAAAAATGCATATTTTTCAATCATGTAAAAATGTAGAAAATTTAAAATGCAGGAGATTATTATTAAAGAGAATAATAACAAAAAAGCGATAAATGTTTTAATTCATTGCAAAAAAAAAAATGGGTGAGAATTTCTCACCCTTTCTCAAAAACAGGGTGAGATTTCAAAAAGTTAAGTGAGATATCTAAAAATTAAAGAAAAAAAAAACACACACAAAGAGACTTGAAAAAAAAAATAATAATTTCTTTAATTATAACACATTTTTAACATCTTCTAATTTTTAAAGCATTGAATATTTTTTTTTGCATCATCATATGGAAAATGTTCTACATCTACTTTTTCATCAGCTATTCTCATTAGGTTGCTCAAATGCGTGTTTGTTTCGTTTTGATCGTTTCTACCCACATATGTTTCATTTTCACATATGTTTCATTTTCATTTTCCTTTGCAATGTATTTGTCCATTTTACATTAATGCGCAAAAAATTTGAACTTCTTACATGGAGAAACCTTACCTATGGTAAACACGTAATTGCAGAGAAATGCGTTCTGAAAGAGGTTCCGAGGGATGGTGTTCTGTTGTTCTTAAAGGTTCTGAATAATACTGGTAAATAGGGAAGCTAGATAATGGGGCAGATGTTGAAAATAATGAAAGTTCCAGGAAGAAAAGTGAAAGGGATTTCATTCTAAATAGCGCAATGAGAAATTTTTTTCAAAATGCAAGAATTTCGCGAATTTTGAAATTGGTTTATAGAATGCATGAATTTCTCGCGGTAGTCATTTTTTAACGCGAGAAAAGAAAAAAATATGCGAGACTCTCGCGTTCTCGCTCTGTAGTGAAAACACTGTATATATATAATCTGATTGTAACTATTTTCATTGAAACGTGCTTTACAAATGAGCGTATGCGACTATTCCATATTTTGAAAACAGAATCCATCGTTAAAAGTATATTTATAATCAGAGAAAGTACGTTTTAGAGCCTGATTTTACAACCTAAAATTTCGTTCGTATTCATTAATTAACTTATTTAAATTTTATATTCCTGGAACCATTCTGTAAAGGTCAAATCAAGACAAAATCAAATCATTAGGTTAAAAGTTTTAATCTATTTTTTTCGGCCTTGTATTCTTTAACATCTTTTAACCAGTCTCAGTACCTCCATGGACTTGATTAGGCTTAAAATGCGGGGTTCATTTTTTTTTTTTTTTTTCAAGAATGTAAAAGATCCAATTTATTTGACTTAAATCAGATTGTCTTCTTTTGAAATCAGAATTTTAATTAGAAAATCCATAAGTAAATGCTTTGTAAATTTTTAAACTGCTGGTTTCTTCATCTTTAAAAAAAATCAATGATTTAAAAAAAATAATAATTGATTTAAATTTATGTTTAAATTATAATTTAAATTGCCATTTAAATCAACAAACTTTATTAAAATTTGTATTTCTTTCTTTCGATTTTTTTTTAAATAATAAAAATGAAATTACCTGTTTTGATGTACTAATTTCAGTCAGTTTCAAAAACTTTTCAGAAATCATGCTGTAATCTGAAAGTAAAAAGTAGAGTGTTTAAAATTGCACAAAATCTCATTTTCCATTTTAAATGTTTTTAAAGCTAAAGAGCTTCGCCTACTGGTTTTAAGTTCTCCTTTTCATCATGAAACACTCTCAAAGAAAAATAACGTAAAAAAATGACTTTTCATATTCCATAAAAAAAAATCACTCATAGAGATACTAAATAAAAAAAAGGTATTTTAGTCTAGCTGAATACCCATTTTTCGTTTGGGGGTGGGGGGAGTAAGCAACCAACATATTAGTACTAAACACTACGAGAATCCTGAACAAAACTGAAAGACAATTAATAAAACTTAAATAATTCCATTTTTTAAATCTATTATTATATTATATTCTTTCCGGTGGCTTTAAATTATTCGATAAAGCAAAACACGTTTATAGTAGTTCGTCTGTATTCAGTATCATTTTGCATTGCTCGAGACCAACTCAAGATAATCAAAATTTGCAACAATCAAGCGATTTTCTTTGGTACTTATCCCTCTTTAAAGGCACCGTACAAAACCTCTCTTCACAGTATCTATATTAAAGCTTTCCAGCATTGATGCAGGTTATACTAATATAATCCATTGTACCTATATTTGCATAGTAAGTACTGCACCAATAAACAGCAAATAAATAAAATATAAAATAAACTGCTGAAACTAAACATGATATAAAACTGCACCATTTCCATAATACGAGTAGTGCCTATTACCAAAATTATTTAAGCATCATTTGCGTTAATAATAATGCGGTGTTTTTTAACATTTCTCATAAGCGAATGTCCTTATTCTATTAATTTTACTTTATTGTATTCAAGAGAATAAAGCATATTTTTTTCTTTTTCAGTTAGTATTTATTCTCAAAACTAATTAAACATTATTGGCGTCAATAATAGTTTGGCAATTTTTTACGCTTCTCTTAAGCGGATTAGTGCCATTTCTCCATTAATATTGCTTTTAACGTAGCTTATTTTTAATTTTAATTAGTAATTATTACCAATATAATTAAGTATCAATGGCGTCAATAATAATCTGGCGATTTTCTACGTTTTTTCCTTAACAATTTAGTACAATTTCTCTATTAATTTTGCTTTATAGTACATGGCATATTTGTATCATTTCAATTAGTACATATTACCAAAACTAAGTAAGCATTATTAGCTTTGATAATGGCTTGATTTTTTATCTATTTTTAAATAGTAATTAGTATCATTTATAAATAAATTTTTCGTCTTAGTACTCATGTTATTTTTATTTCAACTTTGTACATATTACCAAAATTAATTAAGCCTCTTATTAATTTTATATATTTCTTATGGCTCCCCTAAAACTATAAGTATTTTTTCTCAATTAATTTCTCTTTCTACAACATAGATGTTTTTTTATTAGATGATTATGTACAAAAAAATTTAATCAAACATCGTCTGCGTCAAAAGAGTATGACGAATTGTTAAGTTTCTCCTAAATGAATTAGTACTATTTCTGCAATAAATTAACACATAATTTATTACTTTTATTTCATTTAATGTTGATTTTTAATTATTTAGTTTTATAGATTCGCCCTTTAAAAGTATAACTAAAAACAAAATAAACACATAGTATCAAATAAAAATTGAAACACTCATTTAGTGAAGCAAACCGCCAATGCTATCATATTCATGCTGGTCACCGGGTTAATATGACATAACGAATTAAAAAAAAATTTAAACCTTAAAGAATGTGCAAAAATCCCTTTTGTCAAATAAGAACTATAAATTAGCAAATATTACTGATGATGCTACTCATTTTTAATCAAAGTGCATACTCACAAAAATGACGTGAAGAGAGATATGTGTAAGAGGAAGAAAGTATTCGTTGGCTGCCTACAGGATTCGAACCAAGGATCTCCTGCTGCGCATCAGGATTCCTTTAATAAAGGATACGTCCTGGTATACTAATTTATAACATCAATGATACAAGGGGTTACAATTTGGGAAATATGGTCCCAATAGCTTACTCAGGAGATTAAGTAATTTTTGCTTCACTTTCTGCTTATTTTGCTACATATGAATAACTTTTAAGCGAAAGGAATGTATGTCATTTGTGTCATTGCGGCATCCACTATATGAAGCTTCCTAACTCTTCCTGGACTGTTGTGTACAACTATAGTGGTTAGAGCATTGTGTTACGATCTCGAAGATCCTTGGTTCAAATCCCGACGGCAGTCAACGAACATGCATGTCACTTTTAAGACTATGCATTTCACTCAAAAATGAGTACACGCTGTTTCAATTTTGAATAAATGGAGTTTTCAAATTCGACTATCATTTGTTTCGGAGCTATGTTGACACTTATTTGCTCAGTGTGTTTAGAGAAAATAAATATGAATTATTTCTTGATTAGAAATAATAGCCTCAAATTTTTATGTGCAATCAGAGTCTTTTTTTAGTGTGATTCAGGTTTAAATTTTTAAATAATCACATACTTGTAAAGATAATTTTTTTTTAAAAAAAAAAGTGAAATGACAGGTTTAATTTTAAAAAAAAAGACATTTAAAAAATGTCATTTTTGCTCGCGGCTTGGGAAAACGAGCGAAAAAAAGTGAGATCTTTTTTTCAAACAAACATAAAAACAAAACACTGTGAAGACATTCCAAGAGAATGATGCTTTCACATTTTTTTCCAGGAGTTCATCAGTACATTATCATTCCCAAATTAGAAAACTCCTAATTAATTCGCTTAAATCATTGTGGGAAATAATTAGTTCTGACTTTAATGGAGAGGGATAATAAAAGATATTAAAAGTATAATTATACTTTATTTGAAGCTAACATAAAGTTTCAAGCAAACAAAAACAAAAAAAAAATAAAGATTTTTCTTAAAAAATTGAGGAGTACAGTACACCAAAAAGGAAACGGACCACGCTGAATAACTTATGATCTAATGATCATATCTTAACGTTCTAAGACTCAATCTTAATAATTCGAGGGAGTGACTTCAAATATGCTAATTAATAGAGCCAAACGGACGATATTTTAAATAACGAAAAAAGACACAAAACGTACTTTCTATGAATAAATATACCTTTTTTTCAACGGATTTGGATTTTTGACTCCCTAAATATAGGAGGGTACTCGCAATCTGGGAAATAGGGTCCCTGTACTTCGGTCAGGAGAGCGATCCAAAGTTTGGTCCTCTTAATATTAATTTCACTTTTTGCTTATTTCGCCTTGACCGAGAAATTTTTAAGCTCATAGAAAAAATTTGCACGCAATTATAAAATTCGTCTATCCAAAGACAATTCCATGCAAAAAAATAAATTTCAGTTAATATTTATTATTTAATAAAACAGTAGAAGGAAAAAAATTTTAACTATAAGGTATAAAATTTTTTTAAATCATTTTAAAGTATGTGTTATGCATTGCAAAGTACAAAATTTGAACAAAATCGGTTGAATAGTTCCTGAGAAATCAAATTTTAAATATACGATTTTTAAAAAAAATTCGATTTCAAAATTCAACTATTCAACCGATTTCACTCAAATTTTGCACTTTGCCACGCAAAATTGCATACTTTAAAATGATGTAAAAAATTTTATACCTTACAATTCAAATTTTTTCGACTATTATTCTATAAAATAACAAAAAATAATAAATAATTTACTAAGAATTATTCTTTGCATGGAATTATCTTTGGATAAATGAATTTTATAATTGTGAGGAAATTTTTTTTTAATTGAAGGTAATTATGATTCTGTCAAACTAAAAATTTCATTCGGCAAAATGGTAATTTCCACCTTTCCAAAAATATGTGTTCATGGCAGCCCCGTTTAGTAGCATCAGACCTACGAACCACTCGATAATTCCGAGCCCTGTGGTTATGGTACTTTCCATTACACAATATGCTAGCATAATTAGACTTGGCTTGTTTTTAAGGAATTTTATTGTTTTCTTTTCTTACAACTTAAACCTTTAACCAAATAAATAAATGCTTTTGTATACCCCTGATTATGATATTGAAAGATGCTCTACAAGAAAAAGATTGACCTAAACGCAGTTCTACTAAATTCATTTTTCGGGAATTTTATTACTTTTTTCCGTCTTAACCTAAAACCAAAATAATTTTTGCTATTAAAACGAGCTTATTAGGTCTCGCAGTTTTTTTTTTTTTTTTTTTTTTTTTTTTTTTTTTTTTTTTTTTTTTTTTTTNTTTTTTTTTTTTTTTTTGTACAACTACCATTATTCCTTTCTACTTAGCAAACTGTCAAACGCCTACGATAAGAACGTTTTTTTTTTCATGCCCATGAGCTATAAGAGCAGCCTCTTTCGAATGTATGGTTGGAAAAAAAGGGAGGGGGGAATAAATAACTAATAAATAAACTGCTCAACCCATCTTGTACCGGAAATGAGGGAGACATCAAAAATTCCAATTCTGACAAATGCTGGAAAAGGTTCGGTTCGAAGGAAAAAAAATATTCTTTAGTAATGCATTGAGGCGTACGTTCTTCTCAATACCTGATTTCTATCCTTCCTCACCCCCACCCCCCACTACATTCTTTTTTTCAGTTCACGCAACGATACCTTAATAATATTTAGCAGTTTTTTTCTTATTTATATTTTAGACTTGAATTTTGATGCATATTATTTTCTTATTGAGAAATAATTGCACATTTAATATACACATACACATATTGAGAATAAATATACACATTTTAGTGTGATGCAAGTCTCTAATATTATTTTTTATTTTAAACTTTAAGAATAAAACAAATTAAAGCATTCCCGCAACAGCCAGTCGTAGGCCAGAAGGTCATAGAGTTTAAGGCTCCACCATTTCATGACCTACGACATGATTGTGGCAATGTGGCCAGCAATGCGCACAAGCCTCCCTAGTCAAGCTGGTATCCATCGATCATAAGCTGGGTGAGCCTAAAGCCCCCAACGTGAATCGAACCTCAGTCCTTCACACTAAAAACTCAATGCTTTAACCATTAAATCATCGCATCGCGGATCA